CACCAATTATTCCGCAACCAAGTGTGTGACCGCATTCTGGTAAACGAAATGCTGCCAGCTTTGTTCCGAACGGTAAAGATGAGATGCATGAGATCGATACAATTTACCTAATCTCTTGCAAGACATGCGGGATGAATACGACAGGAGAAGAGGGTAGAACGCTCTGCATTGCTTGTAAAAGAACACCTAGGTGAATTACGAAGCTTCGATAAAAAATTCTATGGCACACATAGAAAACAAAAATATACAGCAGCAAATTTCGATATCAGATTCACTGTCTTGCGACAGGGACCATAATCGTCCGTAGCGTAAAACTTTTGAAACCATTTGGGTAGATAGTGAAGACCCAAAAATGAAACGCAAACAGGAGTGCACGTCAATCAAGCGTGACTTTGCACCTCACCTCAGGCTGACCTTCCCGGCCACAGTCACGTACAGCTTCAATTACTCCACTCCAAGCGGCCGGTCCTCGATAAAAAATCGGAAGACTTAGAACATCTTGAGGTGAGTGTTCCAAAATGATGCTTTTTACTATGTGATCCAATATTTGTTTCTTACGTTTTCAGCGGGGGTTAAGGAGGTTTTTGACTGAGTGAATTGCAGATCAGTTTACCTCTCCTGGCTCTGAAAAGGGCCAAAAGCCGTAGCGTTCAGCCAGTGCGCTGTTCAAGTTATTGTAACTGCATTACTATACTCTGTGGTGTATCAGCATTGCTAGTGACTGAATAGACAGTACTGCTACCACCTCGGAAGATCTTAACAAGGTACAACTAATGATCATAAAAACAATAAAACAAAGCCTCTTTTGCATCTCTGTAGAAGTTTTAGAGAAGAAAGTAGACCAACTTCTAAGGTCTATCAAGAATAGAAAGTTGCTCCAAGGTATCGATTAAGTGGCACACATGCAATTTGTAGTATCACTTTTGACAAGCAATTCATTGTTTTGTAAGTATTTCTAAAAGTATGTTTCAATCAAGGAAGCCTTCTCAGTGTGATTCCATCCATATTAACAACTAACCTCCATTAGTAACGATAAGAAATCACCACACTTTTTCACTAGTGCACGCCGCGCTCGCTGTGCGATCCTACAGTCTGTCACTCGAGTAATCAACGTAATTCTCAACGGCTTGATTACAACAGTAGGCACGGACGCCCAAGAGCCGTACTCTACGAACTTCTTGTGATGAAATCCTCCAAAAAATAACGGTTCGTGCAGTTATTTGTTATTCATGTGGATTGCACCAGTGATAATCCACGAACCAGAAAAGTTGAGATTTATAGAGACTATCAACGTTATTCAACCCTTCGGAGACAGAGCACGATTTTCGTGATTTATAGCCAAACATAGACTTTTAATCTTACTTCAGGCAATCGTTTGATAGCTGGAGAGGCAAAAGTTTCGATATCAAATTAGGTCACTAAAAGGGACTCCTTAGGGGTTGTAGCGACAAATGAAAAATTGCGTTCCACATTTGGAGTGCATGTGCGTTCTACAGTTGTGTTTGCTTGTCCTTTTCGTTGAACACATTCAGTTAGATCATTGTAGCCATACAGTAGCATGAAAACTGACATTTCAGTACTGGTTTTAATTCTATACGGCCTACTTGAGCGCCGGACTGACGAAGGGGAAACTGCGCTTCGCTTTCGGACGTAGTTCGTCCGTCGCTCAACTTCAAAGCGGATTTTTTGATAGTTACATAGTAGGACCATGATAATAGAACCACTTTAATGTCACGAAAAAATGCAATGTCACCCAGACACTTTTACAAAGCTATTTTTAATACAAATAACGCCCCTGCCGCCTATAGATCCTCACCTTCAAACGCCAAATCTACATCTTTAGAAGAGCAACACAATCCTAACTTCTTGTTGTACATTTTCGTCGCCTATCTGATAAGAGCGCAGCTTGAAAACACGTATTTTGAAGTTTACAACTTCAAAAACCACTCTACCTTTGGTTTGTGATGCAGCGTTCACAGAACGCGGTCTCGAACTAAGTACCTTAAGTAGGCTCATTGACATTTTGGGACCCAAACTGGAGTGGTAGGTCCTTTTTTGTCCTAACCAACACAGTGTGCTAATAATGAAGTGTATTATTTACTAGGCAACAATGCACTATTATTTTTATGCTTTATTTATGCAAAATTATATACTGTGTCTTCCATCGGACTGCATCTAAATAGCGTTAGAGTCGAACACCTTATAACATATTTTCTTGAAAAAAGGTCGCAGTCGATGAAGCCCATATTGGGTGAAATGTAAGTTGAGATTAACGAAAGCGAGGAGTGTCCGGTCGTCGAAGGCTAGGAAAGTGTTGTTAACGGTAAACACCTCAGTGTAATCAATCAGCGTACATTTCTTGCACAATGCCACCGCCTCTTCTAGGATTGAACGCGCCAACGCCAAATTCATCTTCAGGTCAATGAAGGCCGCCTGAAATCAATATCTATATCTATCTATATCTATATCTATATATATATATATATATATATATATATATATATATATATATATATACTTCCAAAAAAGAATGTTTCAAGCCTAAACGAGGTTGGTACGCCAGGGCCACACACCAGTATTTCGGAGGTTTCGGCCTCCCAGTCAGTGACCCCTGGAGAGATTTCGGCTTAGACCAAAATTTTTCGAAATTATTTTGAATGGTTTTCACGAGGTTTCAAAAACAGTCGATCTTATGGATTAATCTTGGTCCACCAGCCGAAATCCATCGACTGAACAGTGGTGATGGAGCAGTGTCATTGTACACTATGCCATCACCACATGCGCCTCCTTCCTTGATACAATGCAGGGCTTAATGTGGCGCGGGGGTCACTGACGAGGAGGCCGCAACCTCCGAAACACCGGTGTATGGCCGTGGCGTACCAACCTCGTTTAGGCCTAAAACATTCTTTTTGGGATTATTTTGAATGTTTATCAAGAGGTTTTAAGAACAGTCGATTTTATGGGTTAATTTCTTTATATTTATACTGTTCAGTATCTACATGTATACTGTTACTACTAAACTATGGTATCTATACTATTCAGAACATTATAACTTCTTAGTGCGAAAAACGGTGACGTGAAAAAGATTGCAAAATTGTAGTCTTGAAGAACCTGGCAGTGGATGACGCAACAATTCAATTTCAGTTGCTTCCTTCTCTTTTATGTGCAAGAGAAAAAACGAAAAGCTGTATATGATCTGTTATACGCGTGCGAAATCGATGGTGTATCTTTGTTAGTGCGCGGATAAATTGATACAAGATACAATAAATAAGTTCAAAACGCAAAAGAATGGAAACTTTGCTTGCGATTTGCTCCAAAATCAGTTGTGATCATAAGCCTGTACTCGTGAAAGTTTTTATGTACCCTGGACAACAGCTGCGAATATTTGAACAGACAAATAATCAAAAGACAAAAATATCTAACTTGCTGCTGTATCAAGTCACCGCTGCTATCCTTTCAGATAAGTCTAGTACCAGGTTACAGACTTCAAAACGATAAGAGTCTTAGTCAGCGCGGGGCACGGGATGGAACCACTGACCACGTGTGTGTTGCGTGGCACCTTTAACCACTACGACAGAAGCACCGTTCATAGTTAACGAAAGTACTATGAACTGTGAATAAGCCACACAGGTGATGACCGATGAGTCGTGTTCATGTACATAGCTCCATTTTACGATAGACGAGAATGTCAGCAAATTTATCATAAATGTCTAACGTGAGACTCGTCTGACAATAAATCGTAGTAGTCACATTTTCTTTCGAATCACACATGCTCATTGGCTGGATCACAATCCTCCAGCGCTCTAGGCTGTCATTGTCCACATATTTAATCAAAATATTGTGAAGAATACGAAAATGACTTCTCCTTCTGCGACCCTCGACGAACTACAACGCATGACGCATTCCTATAAAACTGATTGAAGCCAAGCACTTCACTCTTCGATTTTTTTATTTCGCTTGTGACGTCACTGTTCATAGTAAATTGCAGTTACAGAGTGCTCCTGCACACATGAGCAACCCTACGCATTAATCAGTGCAAAGACCAACTTCGTCCACAATCACTCCTCTGGTCGGTTATGTGATCTTCCGTGTTTGCTGTGTTGAGGAACATAAATGCAATGATTGAAGAAGGAATTTGATTACTTCATAGCTTACTACTGAAAAAGCAACTGCTACACGAACATAATGTAGTCATTGTTGCGAAACTCAAATTCACCTGATGTTAACGCCTCTAGGGCATACGCTGAGACAGTGAAAGATCGCATTTTTGTAGAAATGGCCAAAATGCCTACGGTCCGTGTGTAACCCATGTAGTAGTCTACGTTTGATCACTCTTACCCAAAACTCATCTAACAAATAACAACTCTATCAATTAAATCTAACAAATATGTTGGCGCGTTACAGAAAAATCTGTCGGTGAAATAGGTATTTGTGACATCTCCATTTGTAAGTAAGCCTTTCGGTACTTTATGTTTATCAGCATTTGGACAACTGTTTCGACGTGAAATCAGCATGATAGAACACCTTAGCTTTCGCTTTCTCACTAACACTTGGTAGGTGAGAGCGATGACATTCGGTGATTTTGTGCACTTCATTTTGCTCTAACGGATGCTTTAACGGGAATTTTCCTTATGTATGTAGGAAATCGTCTTCCCGCAGCTAATTTTGATCTATAAAAGACTTTGATCAAATGCAAGCCACATTCTCCATTGGCAGACATTGAAAGAACGTATCGAGAGTTTGATACTTAGTGCAGTAGTCTTTTAGGAAATCTATTGTACTTCAAGAGGTAACATTCAAAAAAAAAACCACAAGACTGCTGGTTTTTCACTTCCCACTTTTCTAGGCGTTATTAAGTTTTCCATGGATTTCCCTACAGATTTGGCACGGTATTGAAGTGACTAATTCTACAATATTATATATCTAAGAAAATTTAGTGATGAGCAAAAAGCGGCCTCAGGTGGGAATCGAATCTGCGTTTCATCCATACCGGAACGGATGCCTTTGTGGTGTAGTGGTAGTAGCATAAGTCCGTAGTATGGATGAAACGCGGGTTCGATTTCTGCCTGAGGCCGTTTTTTGCTCACCACTCAATTCTTTGGGTATAAAAGAAACATAATAACGCTGAGAGAAAGTGTAGTATAGATATTAAAATTCTACAAACTTGATTATCAACACTACAATTTTTTAAGGTCATTATTTGCTTCATAAGTTGGTACGATATAATGATTTCTTCACTCCCCTCACAGTGACATTATGTTACTCTTAGATGATCGTACTATTCCTTACCTAATATGAGAGTAAAATCACTGATAGGTCATTCGCAAACTTCACATATGGGTACGTTGTCTTTGCACTCAATCGTGACCATTCGTACGCAGATTGAGTAAAGCAAACAAATCATACGTCGTTGTGGTTTAAATAGAATCATAAGACGCACTTGATCTTGGACGTTACCGGCTCTCAATACACCAGTCGGATTGAAAGGTAAGTCCTTGTGATGAGGAATAGCGTGGAGTACAAAAATTCGGTTGACGACCATTTGAGACATGTTGCGTAGAAAAGCCGCAGCGTTGTTCGCTATCATGGCTACCGCTTTATTTGAAGTCGTCGTTGGCAACTTCATCCAGTTTTCGTGCCTCAAAAAAATCTTTCTAATCAACTTACAGCGATGAGTTATGCTTATAAAATTATCTGACAGAAATGTGAAGAATACCCACGTCACAAGGACACTTGCTAAATTCTGTTGAATACAAGAATGAGATATCTCGACAACTTTTTCAATACCAAATCAAGATTTCAGTGCTTACCTAGTAAGAATAAAAAGCACATCTGGATTATATTCACGCACAGCTTCGTAAAATGCCTTGCGAGAGTCGCGGGCAGTGACGATATCTCCTGGATACAGAGAGAACTTCACAAGCTAAAAGACTTCAACTTTAGATGGGAAATTTCTAGTTATGCAGCTCCGGTCTCATCGTAGTAGACAAGACTTGAAGCTTTAGGTTTTCTGATAGGTAAATACAAATTGTTATTATTTATTTCATTCAATTTCATCGATCTCCACAGCGTTTTCTTTTGATTTTTTCACTGTGCAGATCCCAGTGATTCTAGTATTTAGTACGTTGTTCGCCTTCTTTTTGAACGTCACAAAATACTGGTTGAGCGAGTCTTGTTGCAATCTGAGGATAGCCTGGCTCTGGCGTTCCAAAGGTATTGTGACGAATACAAAATCATTCAAAAAACGATCGAGTCTATCGAATTTCAGGTAGGGAGCTTACCAGCGAGTGAGTAAATTTTCACCTCAACGGTAGGACTAGCGCACATTTCGTGCACTATTGGACCCTGATTCGCTGCGTAACTATTGCCAATCACTAGTATCTTGTGGAGTGAAGTTTTATTCTATAACGAAGAGTACTGAGTATGGCACGTACATGTAAAATAATTGAACAGTAACTATTACCTCAGACGGGAGATCACACCATCCCCAAGGGGGTGATTTACCACGATAGGTACATTTATTATATAACAGCAGCCCCACGTCATTTATCCAATTGAACTCGTTTATTCGAATGATCTCTCCTGCAATCTTCGGTTAGAGTTTTGAGAAATCAAAAGGTTTTTCGGGGTTTTGTGTGTTAGAGAAAAAGATTACGGATCAAAAGTGGACGTACTTGTGCTCAAATTCATCCGATCAAAAGGAAGATAGCAAATTTCAGACGAGTTGAGCCTTTTCAGCGTACATACTGGTGCGAACATTTCATTAATCCATCGAGTTTCGTTGAAGAGAAGTGTCTTTGGATTTTCACTCATATAGAAGATAGCAATGATAGCATAGAGGCACGATATCAGATAGAATACAGTTTTTTTGTCGGCTCGCAAATAGAATTTTTCGAAGGTTTCCGTCAATAAAATTGATGCTATCATGGCTATAACAGCGCCGACATGAAGACCTTAAGCAAAATAAAGATTACAGATCTTCTCAACTATTCAATGAAACAGGGATCGCATGTATACAGAGGAACTGAGAGATTTCGAATCAAAATTTCACTGAACATGATTACGGTGTAGCATTTTGCTTTTTGTTTCAAATTGCTGGATGAACATAGCAATAGCACATAATTATTTCTTTTTATAGACAAAACGTAAATGGTGTAGGCGGAGATCTGTTACTCGCAACTCACTTTTGCTGAAAAGAGTCGTTTCTCTAGAAAAAAGTCAGCAAGAAACAAGATTAATAGAATGAGCGTTGTCTTAGCAAAGTAAACGCCTTTTTGTCGGCATGTCTACAATGAGATAAAGCTGCAATGAGTCTATACTTACTTAATGTGTTGGCAGGAAACTGGGTTTTCATAATTATATAAATCGGCCAATGTACAAGATATAGCGAATATGATAGCTTTCCGATATAGGTGAAAAATCTCCATGAGAGAATCGAAGTGTGATCCGTCGGATGAAAAAAAATGAGGCCGGCCGTTAAGAATGTGCAGACGATTCTATAAACCACATAATGAAATAAAATGGCATTTCTTAGCACTAAAGAAAGGTAATAGTAATCAATTTATAACCTGTTCATCAATCGAGACCATGAAGGGAATGAGAAGAAACTGATGGATATGGTAGCTAGCAAGAATATTCGATGGACGTTTCGTTTGAAGTAGCTGCTGTTCGGAGATTCTAGAATGTAATCAATTCAAGAAAATAACCAAAGTTTTCGGTAAAAAGAAAACAAAAGAATAGTCGGATATACCAAGGTCACTTGATTTCTGACTGGATTGCTGAACGAGAACACCTGAATGCTACGATTTTATTTTCAAACAAATGTTGCTTTAATCGTAGTATGTGCATTTAGAAGTGTGTTTTTCTGTACAGCCCGCATAGCTTTCGAAATTCCTGCGTAAATGGAAGCTCGGACCTGTTCTTTCTATAGAAAGGCTCAGTTAAACTTATTTCTTCTTTTATTGAACGGAATTTTTAGTGAAAACGAGCGAACACAGCCTAGGCGTCCGTGTTCCTCCAGTGTGCGCATAAAGTAATGTCCGCTTTAAAATCGATTTTCCTCTGAGGCCCAGAAAAAATTCAACGTTGAAATGAACCAGGACTAAGTGCATGATTTGGGTTTTCTCTCAGGTGAAAATCAAAAAAAAGCGCTCGAGCTTACCCAAGATGAACTGCCAGAGTCTGGTGTAAACCATGTTGAATGCATATTCTTCCGGAAGACAATTGTGAAGCAGTATAGAGATCAAGCCTAGAAGACTAGTTCACAACATGTGGCTTGGATATTGAACGAAACGACAAACCAGTTTAATGCGTTAAGTCAAAATGGATATAAAAAGCGGATAAAAGAGTGGAAGCATTTACTATCGCATACTTAGGACACCAGTCTTCCCGAGCCGTTTTAGGCCTAGTAAATTTACTACTCATTCATCGCTATCACGGTGAATGGTGATATCGATTTCAAGCCAATAGTATAAGAAATTCATTTATGGCTTGCTAGTCATTTTCAACTGCGACTGTTGTTAGTTGGCTCAGGCCATCATCCGCTGACCAAGTTTGAATTCCTGGTTAATGGCCCGTAAGGAATGCAGCTACTTGGAAATGTTACCCTGTTCCCTTTTTCTTTCAACTTTCGTCAATATATCTAATCACCATTTTTAATCTTAAATTTACTGCGCTTCCATAAAATGCTAGCTACGAAGTATCATCACTACGTAATCCAGCTTGGCTCTTGTGTGATAGTTATGTTTTGAGGGACATTTTTTGGCATGCTCTTTAGTTAATGTGTAAGTTTCTAGATCTGATTGATATTAAAGTTGGTCTAGGCAGAGACCACTGAAACAATTTTCAAAGCAATACACGAGTGTGGAGTTCGGTCTCTATGACAATTCCCCACAAAGTCCCAAAATGTCAAAAGCCACCACCAAAGAACCCATGTAGTTTCAATCTCTACAAAAAGAGCTAATGAAACATGACTTGGAAAATTAGAATTTCTAGTATCTGTTGCATGTAGCTCGTGTCTGCCAATAAATATTGAATGAGATGCATTTCGATATCTGCAAAGTTGAAGAGGGATGAAAAATAATTGGCAATGTTTTCTTTGATCGTCTGGATTCAAAAAACTTAACATGTGGTAATAGAGCAGAATTATTTGAGTAGACTTCATGTTACAAAATCTTCAACTTTCAACAATTCATTGCCAATTTCACACTCATGGCGGTTACGGAGTTGTGCGGAAAAGCGCATGTGGCGCAGTGTTTAATTTTTTGACTTCCACAGACCCAAAACTGCGTGTCTACCTGGCGAAGGTGGACTGTGGTGCTCCACCTCCCTGCGGCCCTAGCCCCCAGCGTGTGCTCGGCTCCACCTCCTCCTCTATGTCTGTGATCCCCAGCGTGGGAATCACTGTCTGTCTCACCCCTCGCTGCCGACCATCTGAAATGGCTGATGGTTCGACCTTCTAACACAGCATTTCACAATAGTATCTCTTGTTGTTATTTTTTGATGTCAGTTAGTATTAAAGGTTCTTCTATAACCTAAGTACTTTTGTAAAACACTCACTTGTCTAAAATTTCATTACTTTTGATAGAATATCTAAATGCATGGGTAACAGCGTATATTCAACTTTTTCGCCTGAATGGCAATGTGATAGTTTGTTTAAAATAAGAATTCAAATCTATGTATCTACTTATTTGTAGTCCAATATGCTCCCAAGGCAATTTCTTGTGCTCTGTGCAGTTTATACCTCTCGAAATAGCATCACCAAAATCATCGTTAAGGGTTGAAACTACCACACTGTCATTTAGAGCGAAAAAAGTTTGATATGTGTTGCTACCTCATAGGTCCACGTATTGTATCAAAAGTAGCTAAATTTTAAATAACTAAGCATTTTTTCCTAAAATGACTACGATATGGAAGAACCTTCAATACTAACCGAAAATAAAAAGATAACACCAAAAAACTACAGTGAAGCATCGTGACAGAGGATCGAATTATAACCTATTCAACAACGACGGCAGAAAAGAGTGAGAGGAACAGTGATACCCACATTGGGGGCTATAGCAGCAGAGAGGTGGA